CTGCAGGTTTCTGTGTGTGTTTTTGTTGCCGTTGTTGTTGTCGTTTTCAATTATACTTTGATGATAATCAATTATTTCTGCAGGCTTTACAATTGGTGTCAAGTTGAAATCATGATTATGAATTCAAGCAACGCTCATCTACTTTCTTACCTCGTCCTGCTGTTTTGTGCTATAATGAGAGTCAAAGCGGTCAAAGACTCGCGCGGAGGACTGGAATTTAAGGATTTCAAACTCTGTGGTAAGACTAATCTTAGAAAATCAGGCGAACCAAACAAACCACAGACGTATATATTCCATAAAAATTGGTGACTGGTTAATGTTAAGAACCTGGTCTCTCTTGTTCGTTAACTACATAACCAAGCCTGCCAGGATTACCGGGAACACGCAGTTAAGCTCAGTTTGAAAGCCAGCAAAACCTGGTTTATTGAAATTGACTTGTACCCATGGCTCCATTAGGGTACGGGATTGCAGAACACCACATACCTACGCGTCTGCATCTACTTGAATTAAAAAAGAATAACAAAACAGCTAGCAAGAGCATTTGCTAAATGTTAAATGCCTCGGTAAGATATCTTTCCGCAATCTCCCACCTCACTCTACCCTGTTCACCTACGGCTAAAATTCATACCTGGCTACTTAATGCTAACCTGCGTTGAGAGAGAGAATTCCTTCAAGGCCAGAATTTGCTTGTAAATTTGCCGACTGGTTTTCCAGTGTCTTCCAATCGCGTCATATTCTCTGCCGCGTATTCTGCAATCTAGCAGACAGTTCTAGCGTCGAAACAAATCAGGAAATCATGATGTTCACGGCCAAAAATAAAACTACGCAAAACGAGAGCAAGAAAAAGCTGACTCTAAGTATAAGGTGACGTTTCATCATATCAAGAGTTCAATCTCTCTTGTCACGAGCCATTCTCGTTCCCAGAACCCGTCGTTTCTTGGTCACGTGGTCGGGAAACGAGGGGCTCTGGAAGAAACCGTTACCGGATGTCAGAAAATTCTGACATCCGGTTGCGCGTGTGCAGAACTTACAAATATCACTGCTCATGCTCATAACGGATTTTTGTCCCTCACCCCTCCACAAGGGGGAAAATTTTACTTCCTGAGCTCTCTCCAGAGAGTGGCTTTTTTGGGATGTTTTGAAAATGCACCACTTCACTCAACTTGGATTCACTGATAATTTGAAGTTAAAAGAAGAAGACAGTAACAGAAACCAGCCGAACACACCTGTTGGTTGCAGAACTGAGACAATTAATCGGCAGACAATCGTCTGAGTTACGTGAGTTTTTTTTTTTTAAATACGTTTGGCGAACAGACACTGGGAAAGCATTATCGCGAAGATCGAATATAATGCGGGAAAAAGTCAATCTAAAAAGGTATCTTTTTCCATGACCTGCAACTGCTATCTTACTTCAAAACGCTTTTTTGAAACGAAACCATTCATGTGCTGTGTTAGGAGAGTAAAATATATGTTTCATTTCACTCGAACTGGTTGTGTTTTTTGTGGTGCCGCATGTCGTGGTTTTAATTTTGCCCATGAGCTTTTGTGGACAACACGTGTTAGACAACCAAAGGATTTACGTCGAAGTAAATCAATATTAATCATTTTACCGACCCAGAGTTAAAAACATATATTACAAGGTTTGTCCAGGAGAATTGACAGTCTAATACACCTCCATGGGCTTCCATGCATGGCAACTTTATACAGTACTGTGTGAATCAAATTCCAGTTCAGTTCTCTCTGTACATCAACCCTAACTGAAACTTGAACCCCATTTTCCTAACCCTAATCATAAAACGTCTGGGTCATTGGGTTTTTATGGGGGCCATTCAGTGTTCTGCTAAAAGGGTTTATCCTCCTAAAGATTTCAGGTATCATCTCCTAACTAAAAATCATCATCAGTACCTAAGAGAGAGAGTTTTCATTAATTTTGCTGTCAGACTCAGAAAATCATTAATACCTAAAAAATGTTGATTGTGTAGTGACCATCACCATAAAGTCCAGTATATATGACCAAACCTCAAAACCACAAAGTGATTACCATTGCTGTTTGGGGTTTTGTTTTCTCACCCCTTATTAGCTTTTTCTTTGCAACGCAATAGCATTACTTAATATTGGTGGTATTCATGGTTTTGTAACTTTCACTGTATAGGTGAGCTCTTGTCACCTCTGTTGTAGAGGTATAAACAGTTATATGTTTTTGATTACCGGTTACTAATAAAAAGTGTTTCCCAGGACACTGGTTTAGTAGGAAGTGATGGTAACTACGCAAATGCATCCAGAGAGAAACCTGTTAAGCACCACTTATGAGCTCATGGGCTACACATCTTTGTAAGAGGTTTTAAGGTTTGTTTTTTTCTTAGGGGAGGGCTTCACAACTAGGGGGACATTTTTTCTTGTTGACCGGTAAATGGGCTTATAACTGGGGGGCTTATAAGTTGGCTGGGGGGGAAGGCTTAAAAGCAGTAGTTTATGGTAGACTGTGCCAGACATTCAGGTATTGGGGAAGGTGCAAAGAGAACAAAACTAAAAAAAATCCTGCTTTTTTAATGCTCTACTTCTCACTATCTGAATGCCTAGAACGGGTTACCATAAGCTATATAACTGTACTTTCTTATCTGGAACAGTGAAATGTAAAGTGATATATACATTGTATATAGACTGTATGCTTTAAGAGATCCCCCGATTAAGAAGTACACTTTGAGTAACATACGACCCAAAAGCATTTTCTAGGGTAGCGAGACCTGCAAGGTTTGAAATTGGGGATAGAACTTTGGATCAGGCCTGAAATAGGATAGTGAAAATCACATAGTTTGGTAAAAACTTAGCAAGGCAAGAAGCATACTGTGAGGTGAATCTGAACTGATTTTTGGAGGGTAGTGCCCCAAGCCCAATCCCCACCCTCTGCAGTTGTATTGAAACTGGATGTGTTGCTTTTTAGAGTTAAACTACAATATCTGCTCACAGGTTTTGATAATTTATAATTTTTTAGTTCCCTTAAAATTCAATATTTTGTGTTATAAGATGAGGCCTCCAACTGGGAAAAATTTTTACCAGAACTGAATCATTGACCAGTGGAAGGTTTTAATTTGGTTCATCATTATTTGTCAATAACCAAGTAAACTAAGATCCCCTATGCTTCAGTAAGCCAATGCTGTGTGCAAGCTCAAGGAGGGGTGGAGAGCTGGTATGGTTAGGATTGGCGAGGAAATAGAGATTACTTCATGGTTGGTGAGTGCGTACGATTTTTATTCACGAGTTGTGAAGAATCGAAAACGAACGAGTGAGCGCAGCGAACGAGTGAGTTTGCGATTCTTCACAACGAGTGAATAAAAATCGTACAAGCGAACCAACCATGAGGTAATTTGTTTATTATATATGTACTGAGATATTACAAAATAATGTTAACAACTATCAATTGCGCGGTGAAATCAACACAAAGACCACAACGAGTTGCGAATGATTTTATTCGAGCAAACTGAACGTACAAAACTTCCTACAACATTAAAGTTATTCAATGACTCTGAAGAAAGTGGAACAAAGTCTACTTTTAAAAGATTCTTTAACTTTAAATAACAATGAAAATTTTCAGCTTTAAATATCGCCGTTCAAAACCGTAACTAAGATATAAAATTTGAAAAAGTTGACTGTTTTGTAAATCTAATTATAGTAATGCATGCATTCTAATCAGAGTCAGAGTCCAGTACTTTTAGCCTTTTGTACCTCTTTGGAGAAGACTTTACCTCAACTTCTTGGATTGCCAACTTCGGGGATTGATTGAGGCTGTTAATAGAAATGCTGAATTGACCTCCATGAATAACAGCGCCCGTGAAAAGCGACATCGCTTGTTGGTGATGATCTGCCGCCGAGCGACCCGCCGAGCTAGCTGAAGGATCAGTGGAGCATTCTCCAACTTGAGATGAATTAGTTTTCTCTAAGCTATGCACATTCCCGGACATCAGTTCACTTAAAGTACGAGACATTTTTACTTGCTGTTTTTCAGAAACTACAGAATAATTTGTCACACTTTGAAGATTTTTATGTCCCGACAGTTGAATAATATCTGTCGCTGGGATGTCGTTGTTTGTTAAAGTTTGGATCATTGTTTTGCGACCGCTATGGTTCTTTACATTGGGCCCCAGCCCGGCTTTTTCTGCCATTTTTTTCATTAACGAATTCAGCTTGTTCACGCCAACGGCTGACTTTTTAAACCATGGTTTGGAAGAATCTTGTTTTTTACAGTTATTTACTGCTAGATAAAATGGCGCGTTGTTGTCGTTCATTTCCGACGGTCTTTTCTCCGCGTAGAATTTGTAAACAGTGACGGGATCTCTTTCACTTCCCTGAACCGAAAACATTTTCGGTTTTATTTGCCTGACATCTCTGGAATTTTCTCCGGTTCGAGTCTTAGTTTGTCTCTCAGTATACTCTAAAAATTCCTCGCCATTTGTAGTTTGGCGTAGTTGCACATCGCCCCAACACATGTCTCTGTGTTCCTTACAACCACGGAGACCGAAATAGACTGTGTTGTTGAACCAAACTGTATTCAGTAGAGCCTCAGGAGTTGACTTTCCTAACAATCCTTTGTCATACAGCAGTTTTATGTCATCTTCTGTGAGGGGAACTGAAGCGTTTGGTTTATCGCCTTTGCCTTTCTTCTTGAGATCTCTTTGTTTTGATTTTAATGCCGCTCGTGCTTTTTCAAACTCGACGTCTCTCATAATGCTGTAGCCGTAATTCTTCTTCTTTAAATACCGTTCAAAACTGGCCATCATAGCACGCAAGGAAGTGGGTTCGTAATCTTCGTTGTTTTCTTTCTTTCTTACTGTTATGATAAATTCGCTGATGAATGAACTCAGTTCGTGTGGGGGAATTTCTTCTACAGGCCTTGACTCATCTTTTAGCCTCAAAAACTCCTTAAGCAAAGCAACATTCTGTTCAGTTTTCTTCCTGGAGTTTTCGTTTTCTTGTCCTTCAATAAATTCCTCTACTGAAGTTATATCTGCAAACCTTGAATTGCTCGAAGAAGACGCCATGGTTTTCCTTTTGCCTAGTGACGCCTTCAGTGAAAGGCGGGAAAATCGATACGATTTTTGTCACTAGTGAAAACTTTCGTCTGCGGGTTGTGATTGGTCATACGGTATTTTTCACTAGTGAGAAAAATCGTACAACCAATCATCCTCGGAGACCCAGGGGCAGATAGTGGGGACGAGGGAAAGTCCAAACGGGCGGAAAAATGTGGCGTGAAGAAAAGTAAAGAACGGCGAGAAGAGCCCCTGGGGACAACGTCTTACCAGACCAGTTCCAAACGGTCGCCGCAGTTCTGGCTTCTGATTGGTGCCAGAAAACTTGTTTTTTTCTGGCACCAATCAGAAGCCAGAGCGGCGGCGACCGTTTGGAACTGGTCTGGTAAGACATTGTCCCCAGGGGCTCTTCTCGCCGTTCTTTACTTTTCTTCGTTCCATATATATTTTTCCGCCCGTTTAGACTTTCCCTCGTCCCCACTATCTGCCCCTGGGTCTCCGAGGATGACAACCAATCAGATTGCGTGTACTCTGCAACGCATCATTTTTATTTGACATATTCATTTTGCAGTAAATCTCAGTACATATATAATAAAATATGATATTACTGTTGATCAAGCTATAATGTTATCCACGCTATCAAAGGTGACATACTGCAAAATCCAGTTGTTATCATCAACAACCACTTACCCCAATATGATGCAAAATAGGCTACTCTAGGCCTTGTTCCTTTATCATTTTAGTTATTAACACCTCAGTTGTCCCTAACATTGTCGAAAAATCTAGACCAGTTTTCACATATGTATGCCTTAATTATAAACAGTTAAGTTTTCTTGTATTTTGGAATTCTTAAACCAAAAAGGTTGAGAACATTGTGCTACCTTATGTAGTGATCAGATAACATAATAAATTATTATTTATCAAGAAAAATTGTGCAAAAGCTGCTTCTTCGTTAACTGTTCATCAGTTATAAATAACCCCAGAGCCCCTTGTTTAACTTTGTTTAAATGCCACACGACTGGAAGCCAAGCAAGGACTGTTAGGATGAGAATATCTTCTTGCAAAACATTTGTAACAAGTTGGCCACATAGCCTTTCCTTTCACAGCCTAATTCTTACTGTTAAAATAAAAATTAAAAGAAGGTCTCCGAATTATCTAAGCATGATTCAGTTAAGCATTAATTAAGAGGAAGAAAAGGTAGATTGGAAAGAGTACTTGCTCTATCATCTTTACACAATTAAAAAATTGCCTTTTGCATGCAGCCCAAAATGATTCATAATCAATTCAGTTCTGGCTTTGTGCACTGCCATCAGTGGTCTAATGAAATAAAGGCATATAACAAAAAATATTATCTTGACCTTAGAATAGCAAAGGAGATGCTCTTTCAGCAGAAAATACAATAAATTGAAAACACACTGCAATAAACTTAACGTACAAGTCATATCATTACTGTAATGTAGTCGGAGCTTGATTTCCTTTCCTACTGTAATGAGCACCGACGAATATCCAGAGGAATATAGAAAAACTGATTACACTAATTAATAACGCCATACAGGTACAGAATGAATCGCTTGATTTTTAAGGAGCAAGGAGCAACAGCAAGAGCTAACTAACCATTACTCCTCCTTTCAGTTCCCCAGAAGATGCGACGGTCGAGACGCGCAAAGTTTAGGGCACAACGAAGGCAATACTTTCTTTACCAAGGCTCGTTGTCTTCGTAGAAACTTCTCAAACTTTACCTGCAATTCTCTTCTTCACTGCTATTGCATATAAACAAAACAGGATTGTCGCAATCACAGGCATTTTATGTTTGCAGGTCGAGAGGGCACGACGTAAAATGTTATGCGCAGTAAATTATATTTTTAACTTGCTTTGCGGACTCAATTGCCTTCAGCCAATGAAAAAATTCGTATTTTCCGTTGCATCCAGAGCCACTGGTCGGTTACAAATTAAGCCGAGTGGCTCTGGAGACGAGAATGGTCACGAGCTATTGGTCGTGTTTGGCTTTTCGACCCCTAATTCAAATCGGACTGATCACAAACTGCGTAAGAAGCTAGCCAATCAAAAACAGCGACATATGTCCTTGTGACTCTACGGCATTCGAACACGATATTGTGCACTAATTTGCAGACGCTCTATACAAGGTTTAGAATGTCTGCGACGCAGGCAACGTAATGCAAAAGTTGTCAAAACAGTTTCCCCTCCCCCTTGCCTAAAAAAGGAAGAAGATAAAATAAAATAATGACTGATTTAATGTTTTTTTTCTTTCTGGGGTATCTTATCAGTAGTTAAGATCGTCTGTGCATCCACTTGTATCTTTACAAGTAATAATTCTTAGCTAAATAAAGTCGCAACTCAAGAGGAGTTACACAATGGCTCAAACTCTCATTGGGAGTAAGACCAAATGCACCATCCTTGACCCGTCTATTGCAACCCGAATGTTGTCACGCCAACTTCCTTAAAGCGTTACGCACACTAAGAATAAATATCACTATTCGTAAAGAAGGCATAAAATCATATTTCCAAGCAAATATCCCATTAAATTTTTAAATTCTAAAACACTTATATTTGTCGTTAAAGACCCAAGAGATATGCGACTGAACTTTCAAAAAATCATCAAAACTATAATTACCATTGTCTTAAAAATTTAAGTTTTGTTCTAAAATTCAAGAAGAGCAAGTGAAGAGCTAATACAATTGTGACCTTCACTTCAATATTGCTAACTTAATTCCACTATGTCGACTACTGGAATCACATAGCAATAGCATCACGGCAAGCCCGGCTTTTGACCTTCCCTTCGACTATACTGGGGCCAGGTCATTTAAGTTTAAAAACCAAACGTTTGGATTCTTGGGGCAATCTTTGGAAGATGGCAATTTATACCATTCATATTACATCCACGATCTTCATTGCTAGTCCTCCTTGTGTATGAATAGTTTTTTTCTATAATCTGTCATCATTACATAATCGGCAAAAAATGGTCCTAAATCAAAAATGAGGGATTTAATTTTACTGTCTTTCAACAACTGACAACATTTAAAAGCTGATGGAATGTTTTGCGTGTTGGGTTTTCAAAGCCATCTTTGAGAATGACTCACCTATTTTGTACTTCCGGAAAGAGACTCTTGTATGAGATGAAGTTTTGCACCAATTTCCTTAACAATGCTTGTAGACTTCATAAAATCGGTGCTCTTTTCTAGGGCCCAGTAATCCAAGCAACACAGAATTCAAACTTTCTCCTTGGCCATTCATACCATCTAAAGCACTATTCAACCTCACTATTGCATTCACGCCAGGTAAGACCTTAGTTGATCTCATTGATGAGTTGTTACTACTCTTGATTGTGCTACCTAGAACATATACAAAAAAAGTGGTTTATTCTAATGACAGCTTTATACACTGCCGTGTTTTTATGTTTGTTTTTTTCTCCTCAGTTTTTGAAAAGGACCAGTTAACTACACTCTGTAAAAAAAACAATTAGTAAACTTGGATCCAACTTTGAAAATATATCGGGACTTGGGTGGGGTCCCGAAAAGTCGCGAAATTTTTCAGACGATGTTGTGTGATGAGAGGCAAGTTTATTCACCCACCCCCATTTCTCATAACAAACAAACGTTAATCAAAATGACACATTTACTGATTTTAAGGCTTTCCAGTGTTGTCGAAGAATTTTTGCTGACTGGTTAATGTCAAAAGTTATAAGAAATAACCTTGGAGGACTCTATTGCAACATCATGATCAGACGCACACTTTCAAACACTGTAACTAACACTGTTCTCTAACTGTTCAATATCTTTTCAAAAGCTGAAGACATTTTTGCCGTGACATCAGAGTACATATTGTTGTCAGAACCGGACGGTCGAATACTAGCAAGGGGGAGGGATGACATGTGTGGCCAGGATTTGAACTTATGCACCTTAGCGGCAGGTGGTAAGTATAAAACAATAGCTCACATAATCACAGCAAAACTCATAAATACTCCGTGAGCATATTTCCCTGTTAAATGTAAAGATTAAATCACTTCTAATGGATGGACCTGATCAGACCTGGTAAAATTTCCTAACTGAAACAGGGGAGGGATTTGGATGATTTAAGCAATTAAATACTTATTAAGATGAACGTTTTACATAAAGAATATTAAGAACGTTATATAAAAAAGAATATCTGAAAAGCACAATGATGGGAAAAAGCCAAGAGATGTTCAGCCTAAAACTAACAAAAAGTCGTCCATACATGTTAGTATAGGTCAGAGCCTTCGATTGTTGACCAGGTAAATTTAGGTTTTTGTTTGACCCAAAAAGTCAAATTATGACGTCACAAGAACTGACGTCACCAAATTGGGTTAAATAATTTTTTTAATTTCAACGTCAAACTTATATTATCTGAAAGAGAATTACTTTAGAATGGAAGTAAAACCGTTTTATGGGATTTAAAAGATATCTTATTGCACCCCCAGGAATCATATTTTTTCCTTAAAATCGAATCCTTTGGTTTAATTTTAACACTTTTTTGTAAAATAAGCTGATTTTCCGGTAACATGAATCTTTTATAGTTGCTAAAAATCGTATCGTTTTAGATTTTCGTTCTTTGACGCAAAAACGCAAATTAAGGCAAAACAAAAATAATCACGTTACCTTTTAATGACGTCACAAATCTGCTTTCTTGGTTTTTGTGCAGTTAGGAATTTTCTTTTTTAAAATTTTTTTGTTCTTTAGCTTTCGACAGTAAAGATGCGTTATGTTAAAATCAAATAACAATGGTGACGCGACAATAAAATGCTTAAATTTAGATTTATTTAACGAGGGGGTACAGCGTTTTTGTGCTACGATTTTATCCAAATTCAAACGTTATATTTCAGTTCATATGTAAGATATTAGAAAATTTTGTTCATCTTTCAACTCCTCGTGAATAGTTCTTTTAAAATTGATATAAAAATACAACGATTCTCAAATTTGAAATTTACGTATGAATGACGTCAGCAATTATGACTTCATATATTAACATTTTTGACGTCAAAATATACGCCAAATTGATTGGCTCAACATTTTGGTAAAGAAAACGTGAGAGCTAACAAAGTTATTGTAAATAAACCCGAATTGAGGTGATTTTTCCCCAGTGTGATTTAAATACGTTTATTACTATTATTATTATTATTATTATTATTATTATTATTATTATTATTATTGTTGTTGTTGTTGTTATTATTATTATTATTATTACTATGAAACTTTTTTTAAGGACTTTTTTTTAAAGAAATAGGAATTTGGGAATACGAGATTTCATTCTTTTTAACTTGTCTTTTTTTAATATCAGAGATGGATTGATGATTCCTTTTTGTAATGACCTAATTTAAAACTCTGGACCGCCCGCAAGAGTTATTGATCGCATCTGAGCAGCAAGGAATGTTTTTGGGAAATCGTTATTGACACAGTGATTGTATTTTTATGATTCATATAATTCTTAATGTTATATAGCGCTTAATTCTTACTTCAAATATTTCTGTAAATTATGAACATATTTTTAAAGTTCAATAAAATTATTATTATTATTATTATTATTATTATTATTATTATTATTTGTTTGTCCTTGGGTAGAAAAGTATGTCTACAAGTATTCCGATAGAATGAGAGCTTTCCCACCTGGTTTCAAGGTAAATATAGCTCTATTTTTTTTTCTATCAGCAACTACTTAAAGACGCTATATCACGCTATTTGCTATGAATATTTTTTAAAATGTTAAAACTTTATCAGTTACATTCTGTGAATTCCAAAGATTTTGGTGCAGTTTTGTTATTTGAGACTTTATATTTCGACAGACCTCTCGTCTGCTCGGCAAAGGATTCAGTCAAGGATGGACATGCCGGCTCCCGACATGGATTGAAACTTGAAAAAGTTGGGCCCACTTTTTCAAGATTTAATCTGCCTGCAAAAATCACCAAACAATTTATTATGGTTCAGTGCGCACTGACGAAGTTTGTTTGATATATTTTTTACAGCTCTACAGGAGCATTTCGTGTATGGAAAACCCGGGGGGTTACTCAACAAATGTTTATACGGGGAGGCTCTGCCCCGAGCTCCAACCCCTTATATGATGTTTTCCCATGGTTAATGCATGGGCACCCTTTTATATATCATTTTTCAAGAAAAAGGTACCCCTTTCGTATAAAACAACCTGCCGTCGCTTTCGGCCGTTCACCAAACCTTCGTGACATACTCGTTCGTGCGAAACTCGCCAACATCGACAACACATCCAAGCCCCCTGCCAGCACATTCCGTTTGTCGCAACTCTAGACATGACTGCCTCACCTCACTTTCAACAACACGGGAGAAACAAGACAAATTAAACATCACATTACTAGTGACTCAACAAACCTAACATATATGATCCAATGTAAAAGATGCAAAAGACAATATGTAGGTGAAACTAAATGCACATTTCGTGAACGCTTTAAAGAACATAGACAAGCAGCAAACAATCCACTCCACGCAAACGCCACAGCAGCAGTCCCTTCCCACTTTAATCAACCTGCTGGCCACTCCATCGCAGACATGGAACTTATTCTGCTTGAATTACAAACCACCCTCAGCATGTCACGCCGAAAGGAAAGAGAAGCGTACCTCATAGATAGAGGCAAAACCCTGTTACCAGACAGTCGTAACCGAAGGAATGAACATTGAACTGTTTCTATTTCTATTTTTATTGCATAATCATTTACCTGTATATTATTCTGTAGTTAATTATTAACCACTTATGTGAATTTTCAAGAGGAACCAGTCAGCTATATTTACGTGTTGCGTGGACCTACGCATTCAAACAATTTTTCCTTTCGTATACCTTCTATTGACAAATGATACCCCTAAAACTTTGCATCCCTTATAATCGCTGTAAATGCACTGTCTTTTAAATAGAAATCAATCAACAACAATAGAACGTCTTCTCGAATTTATGAAGCCATAAAATTCATCTGCTAGCCCCTTTTGGGCCCTTTCACAGACCCAAATGACAGATTTCCCTACCCTTTTTTATACATCAGCTGGTGAAATCCCTACTCTTTCATATATCTGAAGCCTGAAAAAACGGACATCCCTCTCGGGCAGGCGGAGCCTTCCCGTATAGGCGATCATAGGGAGTACCCCCCCCCCCCTCACCTCCAGGGATGGAAAACGCAATAAAGAGAATGACTCCAGTAAAGAATTTACCTTATCCTTGTGACATAGCCCTTTTGACAGAGTTTGTTTTTAAATAAGCTAAGTTAAGACTTACACTTCTGCTCTGGATTCTGCTGCGACCTGCCTCTTTCAAGCACAACTCCACTGCTTATCATTTTTAATTATTTTTGTCGCTGTGTTTACTTGTCTGATATTTCAGATGACGGCGAGAGCAAAAGGAAAACTCTTCAATGAGGAGCACATCCCGTTTTTCTGTATTGAAGGGTTGATCACGATAACATGACAAGGAAGTCTTCATCCATCGGATAACAGTAGTTCACAATAGTAGTCAGACAGGCAGATCTGCAAATGCGATGCGGTAGCGGCTCTCCTTAAGGCCAGGGAACACTCTCACAAGCGAGCATCTCTAGATCTACTTGGTAACGAACTCTATGGTAAAATGAATAGGGACTAAATAGTAGGGTTTAATATTAAATAGAGATTTTCCCGGTTAAAAGCGGAAGAGTTTGTCAAAAGTTCCAACTCTAATAATTTTTTTATCTCAATGTATGTAATTCAACTAGACTAACCATTTAGAGCGAAATAAAGACTAATTGTTTAATTGAAACCCCGTTGAACTGAATAAAAGTACAAAAATGTCGTTTCCCAAACATCAGTTAACGTATTTTGTTTGTTTTGCACTATTTCTTTAAGTATGCACCTGCGCTCATATGATGGATAAAATGAGATCTCCTAATAAGTGGACGGCAGCTGTTTTGTTCTACTTGGAATTCGTTAGTTCTGCGTAAGAAATGGCAGACGATGAGTCTGGGTGTGTGTGTGTGTGTGTTAATTTTACTTGCCAACCCTCCCGCACGGTAAGAGTAACGCTATTGATTCGCTTTCCAACGAGTCAGACCAAACTGTTTACAACTACAATCCGGTGGGATCAAGTGGGGAAGGAAGGGTGGGGAAGGGAAGAACTGAACATCTTACATCACACCTTACACGGTGTTGACGCCGAGTCCCAAGTATGGAAATAGCCCTTAATTAATTCCCTTACTTAGCAACCGCGCTCGACCTATATATATCCTGATAAATCAGTTGACCTTAGGCCTTAAAGGGAATAACATTACAAACATCAGAAATATATAACAAACGCATTGTATAACTGACTTTTATAATATCGAACTTGAAGTTTCGTATGCTTCAACATACATCTTCAGAAGTGACCGTTAACATGAGCAGTAACTAAATTTAAATCAAGATAAGTAACTAATTAACGTGAAGGGAGAAACAAATTAATGTGACAGATGAGAAAGCTTGCATGGAATTATGAAAACTAGTATAAGTAAAGCTTTTCGCTGCTTACATTTTCATTTCCTTGAATATATACTTGACCTCCACTCTTTGTTTCGCCTCCGATAATCGCACACCAAGTAGGACGAATGCACCTGTCTCTGCTAGGCGTGGTGAAAGCTTAAATGAGTCGTGGTATACCAGAGTCGAGTGTAAGACCCGATCCATAGTTAGAAAAATGCCATTGTTGCACCTCGGCAACTTTTCAGCCAGTACAGTATATAATAAATAAAACTAGGTCAAATTGCCGAATGAGTGAAGAAAAAATTTAGTCTTTGCTTGTGGAAGTAGTGTCCTGCAGGGGGGTGGGGGATACTCCCATGTATAAGCTATATAGGAAGGTCGGCCGCCCTAAAGTGTAGGGTTTTTGCACCATATTGGTCTGTAAACAGGTATAGACTTTGCCCAGTTTGGTTCGGAATCCGGTAAGGAACCACGGGAGTGTCTAGACGAATTTATCGTTTCAATTCCAAACGAGTACCCACTTATGAGTATTTGTACCAAATTCAAAACATTTACGTTTTTTACGGATGGTAAACATATGCCCGTCCGTTGATCACATGACCTTAATACGCTTTCTTTATTGGATGGATTTACATTTCAATCCCTGATTTCTGGCGCCATTCTGGAGCAAGGAAGTTGCCCTATTCATGTCAGTGTATCTTGTTGGAGCAAGTCATGGACATGCATATTTGTTTCAAAGGTACGGAATTTGCTTTTTATAAGACTGAATAGGAGCTTCTGATCTGTGGATCTCCTTTGATACTGAAATTCAGTAGCTAGCCCGAGAGTTCTTATGACCTAAGTTCCAAGCCGGGTATGCACGACCGTCTGGATGTGTGATTTTCTGCAGGAATACACAATTCGATTCTATTCGAATGGTCGTGGATTGATGGCATTGATGCGACAGCAAAAATCTTACGCTTACCTCAGCGCTCAGAAAATCAATATTCCAATTGACACGATTCGTCATGATTCGGTCTGATAATCCGGGATTATTGACTAAGGAAAGATTGGCTGCATTGCAGACTTCAACGTAAATGACTGTACTCAGCACGTTTCTTCGTGTCATCAACCGTATAACCACTGCTGGTCTTGGGCAAGGCATTGTTGCTGCTCGGACTCGGCGACTGTGCTGTACATTGCGTTACGCGAAGTTTATGTTTAGTGAAAGAGCGACTCCTAGCACTTCCGCCCTTCGAACACTGCTGCAAAGTCAAAAAACCTTCACATTCCGTCATGTAACAAATGCCTCGGTTTCATGTTAAGTCAGGCGTTAAGTGAATTTAGTAACTCTGAAAAAGTGCATGGTTTACGTAACTGTTACTTTTACTGCATGGATATCACGTCAACGGTTAATGAAAGTTAAGGAAAAGAGAAGTGAAAGTGAAAGTCATGCAAGATTTATCAAGCAACTAATATTGCGGAACAGGAAGTCAAATACGCTTAAGTCGAAAGCTGCTTGCTGCACGTAACCGAATGTGTTGGCTTTCTAGTCTCAATCTTAATCTTTTAAAGTCTTGTCGATCAAGCCTGTCGGTTTAGCTTGCCCGCCTGAGTAAATAAGGTCTGGTAGCAGTCTAGTATTGCAGTTTACAAGCACAGAACCTGCACAACTGGAGAGCCATCCTCTGTGTAACGGTTCGCCCATCAGTCCTCGCACTTCCGCTCAAAGCCGCTCAATACTCTATTTTGTACGTACTTTGTAAGCTTAACTGAAGAATATCAAATAAGACAAATTGAACTTGAATCGCTGTTCCGAACCCTAGACCTATTTACGGTTCAGATCGTTAAGCTTAAAGCTTACATTGCGATTAGTCTCGGCTTTGTTTAATTCCGGCAAAAGTCCCTGACGTGTGATGCTTTTATAAATAGAACGCCTGCATACACACATTGCGTTCTTTCGTGGGTAGCATTTAGCTTTTTTTTCTCTCGTACAAGGAATGCACGGTTAAAAGCGTTTTTTGTTCAAGTAACCTGTTAGAATAAAGTCAATAAACGATAAATAAAAAGTTGGAAGGACAACTGGAAAGGGTAATGTTCGGATCTTCATATCACATGCAAAGAAGGACAACAAACTGAGTTAAAGAAGTGATCAGAGTAGCGCAGCTTAAGAATACCCAGATAGCTAACAGCGTCATGAGAAGTCCATTCATGAATCCTCGCTAGTGGCCAGTGTCACGTATTTAATTGTCCCTCTTCCAGCTAGGCGGCAACTCAGTTACAGCGGTATATTCCCCACCTCTGTACATAGGGTCATGTAGAGTCCAACTGCATATTCAATCAGCAAAAACAACTACACAAATAATGTGATAGTCATGCGGAAAAGAACAGAATGTAAGAATGGTTCGCAGTTGAATGGAATATAGGTTGGAGTTTTGCCTGATGCTTTGTGTCCTGTACTTCATTGTCAAGTTTACTTGTAAGGCTAACCGATGCAAGGACAGTATAACTCCAGATACCTAAAGAGTATAAAGGTAAGGCAAATAAATTTGGTTAGTGTCTCATCAATTAAAAGGATTAATTGAGCAAACTATAACAGCAGACTGCAACAGTCTAAGAGCAAATCTTTAAGTTTTGGAACTTTTGTTATTGTGAATTTGTTTTAGAACAGTCAACCCACTGGTAATAGTTATGCACAATCAACACCAGAACAATAAACGGACCATTGCTACTCTCACTGGGACTTGAATTCAGTTAACGACTTATCCACAGTGTGAGTATTTTGATATTGAAATATTTCATAAGGATAGAGAACCTGTCACAGAGTGCTAGCTGAAATATTAATTCGACGGTAATTTGATTAACTTTTGTTCATTCTTTCAAATGTACCCATCCCCGGGTCTAGTAAAGGAACACTTGTATCGTTATCTGGTCTGAACTTAAATGTCTTAGTTCGTATAAATGAAACGAAATAATGACAGTGTGTAATTTTAAAGATGTTTTCAAAAGAATCTTAACAATACATTTAAACACACTTCTTGACTATTAACTAAATTTGTTTTAATTAAAGCTTAGTCAGACCAAGGTACCATCCTTGGAAAGTCTCATTTCAACGCTTGATTATGAGAAAATCAACAGTAAACAGAATAAAAAATGACAAGTTTACAGCACATTTGCTGCAAATTTACGGGTGCAATCCTTGCAAAGTTTACAGGAGAATTAAGTCCCCGAACGCTTGCTCTGACAGAAACAATTCCAGAAGCGTTTCAATTTCCTCCTTCTGATTGAGCAGACTGAGATTATTTAATGGTAAACCAACCATTTTTTCGAACATTTTCCAGTTAAAGACCTTAGAATCCAGCATAAAAAACCTTTTTTGGAAAGACAAAAAAGTAATGTTTCATTAACTTTCAATCAAAAGAATGATAGACTAATCACTACGTGCCTAAACGCCTCTTGCTGACATTGCTAGTTTATTGTTCCAGTGCACTTAAAGCTTTTAAGCTCTAAAATATAGGCTTAAAAACCTACATTTTGAAATAAACCCTCGCTCAACTCCAGAGGATTTCTGCTTACTTTTTGTTTTCAGTAGATGCACAAATCACTCATATAAGTTCTCTTATGAGTCGTTTTCGAATGGGAGCTCAACCGCCGAGTTTAGGTTTTCGTAAACATCTTTGATGGTTTTGTTCTGCGACAGGTCCTGGAACAAGCTGACTATTGGACGTGATGAAACAAAACAAAAAACAATACTTTCGATTTTCATGGAACGATGAATAACTTAGTTTCGGAACCAAAAAACAAAAACAATACAGGCAGGTAATGACCGTCTGGTAAACCACAGAGCGTTTAAAGGCAGACAATATATTGACAATGACGTCGCTTAGGGATGATGTTTGTCAATGATTTGAGGAGACACAAAAGGGTAGTTCAAATTCCCTTCAGGAAGAAAATAACTTCCTGATTATTAAAATACTTACGTTTCCTGAGAAATTTTGGTTCGAGAGACGGCAATTATAAAATAATTAATGATGATATTACTTGACACAATTACAGGTCAACATGCCATTTTTTTGCTGTTAGCTACTTATATTAAATTTAGCAAGATCTGGGGTTTCCCCGGCCGTCACTTGAAGACGTCACTTTAAAATCATGCTCAAAATGTAGCGGAAATTTATAGATATCGTTTACTTCCTCAAAATGACCATTACTCTGCCAAAGTTGGCGATGGACTGCCTAAACAATTACATTTATTCACTGGATCGTACAAGTTGGGGAGTAAGTAAAGCAATACGATTAACCTAATTTCGGCTAACTTTTGAATTGTTTAAAAAGCAAATTTCATTTTTAAAATATATGTAAATAAGAGACAGGAATCGAATAGAATCAAAAGAAAAAAGATCACTTTGAGTAAGTTTTGGCCTAATTTCTGTTAAACGAAGAGATTCCAATCAACTCAACATGGACTCACCTAGTTATATCCTGGGTGGATTCTGAATAGAGGCAAAGAAAACATCTTATCTTCGACTCAGGCCCTGGTCAAAGTCGAAGTTCACATGTTACGAATCTAATAGGTTGGTAACTTGTAAAGTTCTACGTTTGATACTGGTCTTAGACCAGAGTGGTACGACAGTGACTCGTTTCTGACAGGAAGTCGATTTGAATTTTAGTCCTCGACAGTGATTTGTTTCTAGTGTTCGAGGATCTAAGCATTAAACTTGGAGAACCGAAACTACTATTCGTTTTGGTTTCTTCCTTACCAGTCTGCACAACTTCGCTGTTTACTGCAAGGCCTCAAAATTATAGAAACCAAAGATTGCGTGATAAATTAAGACGTTTAATGCCTGGATAATTACATATTATGCCATTTTCTTTCCTGAAAACTAGTATTCATTATATTTTAATTTCTAGCCTCTAATTTTGCCTCTGACTCTTTAATTAACAGGAGCTTCTTCTAGGTGGCGTCTACTTTTTCCTCATACATTTCGGGTCCCAAATTTTAGCTATTAGCGAACAAGAAAGATATACAGTGTGCATGCATTAACTACTTTGAAACTCGTCGAATTTATGCTGACGTTTATCCAAATATCGTACAAACCTTACCAGACCGAAATTGACGCTAGCATCTGAATAGAGCAAAAGGCACTGCAGTACAACAAAATGTCGACTCGTTTGCTGCGTAATCGCAATTCTTGCCCATTGTTTCTTTAGTTTTATTTGTTCCCTTTTTGTTTTGTTCCTTACACGTTGAGTTTACCGTCCATGTAAGGCCAACAAATATAGGATACGTTGGATTGACTGAGCTTATACCTTAAATAGACTATCAGTATATCTTGGCCGATTACACCGTTTTAAAGGTTCAGAATTTTGAATAAATCTGTCTTATAATCAATCACATAGACAAGCATTATTTCTGTTTCGGAATGGTATCGTTTCATTGTGCATTCTCTTGAGAACTTTTTGTTACAAATATGAACCTAGCAACCAGAGTGTTGTTGTCGCAACGGATTAAATACATCCGGCACATTGAAGTTCTACAGAAAGCCTTCGTCACGGAGGGAAGTAGCCGTATATTCGAAAGTTTGAATATATTCGAAAGTTTGAACGTTTGAAAGTTTTCTCTCTTCAAGGAGCGCAGGGACTCCAGTTTGCATAAGAAGATTTTCTTACTTTTCTTAGAAAGCGGGTATTGTGCAAAGCGTTTCTGCTCCAGTATTCCCTTATTCTGCATGCCGAGTGACTCTTCCTTTTGTTTTATTCCGGGTTTATAGTCATCATCGAAGTCCGCCTTTATTTATTTATTTATTTATTTACTTTTTGTGGTGAAAACAGACGACGAAATTGACATCATTATTCCGTTTTTTATGTATCCCACTTGTATTTGGAATTTGAATTGCAGTTCACTGGTCGAGACTACTATAGTAGAATGGGAATTCTGGATTTCAAAGCATTTCTCTGTTTCTGTTTCATAACCAGCTAAGTTGACTAAATTTGAAAGATTTTTGTGGATACATGTATGTTCAAAGATGATTTACTCTTTGTAATACTCTTTGTAATTGTTCTAAAAAATGGACAGCAGAAGGATTGGTAGCTCAGCTGGTTGGTGGAGGCAGAAAATCAAAAATACCACTCTCTAGACTTTATCTGCTAGACTAAGTATCCCTTCATATCTTGAAACCGCCGAGGAAAAGGCAAACGTTAAGAGGACGGTGACTTACATCGATCGAGGAATTAACAATTAATGAATGAGGCTGAGTATCTTATGAAGAATTATGGAGATCGAGGAGGGTGTTATCCGTCGAGGCCGTAGGCCGAGGCGGATAACACCCTCCGAGATCTCCATAATTCTTCATATGATACGAAAGCCGAATTCAATAATTGTTTTATTATTCATTCAAAATAATTCGTACTTTAAAAACATGGCTAAAACATGCTAACCTCCACCGATCCATCGATGTTAAGTTCATCTTCGATAGAGCACGTTTAGGTTTGTCCGGCTCCACAAATATTCTCCAAATAGCAGATGTCGCCCTGCGAGTTGTCTTTTTTCTGTTCTTGCCCTGTTTTTAGCTATGTTTTTGACTAGTTCTTACTCTTGAAACGAGTGAAATGTCAGGCATTTTTCAAGTTCACAATCAAAACAACTCAACCTCGTCCCCAGGTCTTCTCGGTTAACGGTGCCTTAACCTGCGAAAACGCTGCATTTTTGACGTCATTTCCTCGTTAAACACGAAATTCTTCCAAATTTGGTCATCAATAACTGGTTATGGTGAATTAAACGAGTGCTTTTAGCCAATCAGAATCGGGAAAATATTTTGAATGAATAATAATATGTTTTAAAGTATGAAATATATATATTCTGAAAAAAAGACTTCACCGATTATTGGATTCAGCTTCCTATAACATGAAGAATTATGCAGATCTTGGAGAGCGTTATGCGTCTTGGCCGATAAAACTCTCCTCGATCCGCATTATTGTTCCTATGTCAAACTCAGCCACAGCCAATGAATGAATGGATTACTTATAGAAAGATAACGAGCAGTTTCTTATTTTCTTCAAAGTTACCAAGGTAGCTAGCGCCCACTGTCACTCAGAAACTCGACAGATTGAAGAGAAAAGGCGGACTGCAAGCAATCTAATTTTTTGTTAAGAATGAGTTGGCGGCTATTTTTTCTTGACATAACGTGTGAAACTGCTTCCGCCATTTCATCCAGCTCTGCCTAAACAGCTGAGCTAACGCGCGTCCTACGTCAAAGAGGGGACACCATACTGATAACAAACGGATAATGAATTTAATGAAATCGCCAGCGTGGTAAAAGGCTTTGTCCATTACGTTAGTTTCTGTTCCCCCACGTAAGCACTCCACCTAATTTTTCCATTTTCCCACTAAAATGCTCAGTCCAAAAAGTCCCTAAGATGCTCAATTTATGCTCATTATGGGGAGTTGGGTTTAAACGAAAGTGACACAGGGTCGTAAATGAGCGGAAACAAACATCGCCACAACCTTAAACTACTGACTTCTCCTCAGTCCTCACTCGGCTGTGTTCAAATTATGTCGAATATAAAAATTTTAAGTTTTCTTTTCCTTTTTTAAACTGAATTTTTCTTATCCTTATTTTCCTAGAAAGTGGCCCTGAATCATGCTTAATGCTTTTGCCTCCTGAAAATGCTAAAACATTTTGTACAACGGCCTACTAAACCACGTGGAAACGATTTGGGAGACGGGGCTAATTTTACAAATTGTTCATATCTCTAAAAAGTTCCTGGCTAAGCCCTTGGAAAGTCCTTTGTTCATGTAGAGGGAGGGGAAATGTTATCAGGTGGTCGCCGATGTTATTTGACATGTCGGACATAGACAAAGGGACTTTCTTCTACCTGCAGGAGAAAAGTAGAAAAAAAGCGTAGAGAAAAGCTATCGGAGAGTAGGAAGAGTCATTCTGGTTTATAGTGCAAACATATGCAGTCGTAGTAAATTTTCACGATTTAAGGCCAAGGTAATTTTTTCTAGACTAGTGATTTAAGACTAGTGTCCTAAGAATTTAAGAAGTCCTAGCCCGAAAGGCTTTGCGTCAAATTTCTTTGAATATGTGGGATGAACAGAGTTTTTTGCACGTATTTTAAATGTGAAGACAGAACCTACACTGCGATAATACGGTACATCAGGGTTTTTATTTAACAATTAATGAATAATTCTTCATATGATACGAAAGCCGAATTCAATAATTGTTTTATTATTCATTCAAAATAATTCCTAGTTTAAAAACATAGCTAAAACATGCTTACCTCCATCGATCCATCGATGTTAAGTTCATCTTCGATAGTGCACGTTAAGGGTTGTTCAGCTCCGCAAATATTCTCCAGATAGCAGATGTCGCCCTTCGAGTTGTATTCTTGCTGTTCTTGCCATGTTTTTAGCCATTATTTCGCCTAGTTCTTACTCTTAAAACGAGCGAAATGACCGCCATTTTTGTTTCCACAACCAAAACAACTCAACCTCGTCCCCAGGTCTTCTCGGTTAACGGTTCATTAACCTGCAAAAACGCTGAATTTTTGACGTCATTTCCTCGCTAAACACAAAATTCTTCCAAATTTGGTCATCAGTTACTGGTCATGGTAAATTATGCGTGTGCCTTTAGCCAATCAGAATCGGGGAAATATTTTGAATGAATAATAATGCATATTATTAAAAACTGAATCATTGGATAATGCAATTCTAGCATTTTGATCGGCTTAGCCGTTATGGTACATTAGCTATTATACCATGCTCTCCATATATGGTCGGTGTACGCGTCAGCTTAAAATTGGAAGCTAGCTGAGATTTTTTTTCGCGAAGAATAGAATGGCGTCCGAAGCAAATCGTTTTAAATCATTTCTTAGAATACTAGAAATGCAAATTCATCGAAAGAAAAAAGACAAAAACAAACAAAAAAGCCAGAAGAGCTTGTTTGAAAGTTTGTCGAAAAACACATGAAAACACATGGAACTAAAGTACCTTGACCAGCTACGAAAGAAGACAAGTGTTGTTTCTTCACGATGGCGAAGCCATTCGCCGATCGAGTCACTCGCCGATAGATAACTTCGGCTTGTTTATCCGACATCAAGAATATAAATGACAAGTAACCAGCTACAAATACAGGCTATGCAGCCATTCACTAGAGCAATCGAGGCGGCAGTATAGCTTCTTTTCTCGTTCAGCAAAACCAGCTTGTGGCTTCAAACAACTTCATAACAAGCGACCGAGGTAATAGTTTTTCTCCGTTGTTCTTACTTTTATAACTGCACCGAAAATCCAAATTCACAGTAATTTCGACGGCTGTCACTTAAAAATTCTTTTCCTTCACATTATCTGCCAGGTTTTTTAGCTGTTCTGCTGTGTAAAATATTAGAATCCCGATGAGTTTTTAAAAAACTAATGTTCATCGCTACAATGTTTTGATTTTTCATTAATGCAGTCCAGGCGAATCCGTTCGCGCGTTGACAGTTTTGATAGACGTGTGACATGTGAATAGCGGAAGTTCCTTGTCTTTTCCGGTTTGTTCTAGTAGGGGAGATTCAACGAGTTTTTGTGAGCGTTTTTAACAAAACAATTATTCCACTCGCGCTTATTGGATATGAGATGATTACAGCCAACTCGGCGCTACGCGCCTCGTTGGCTATCTTTCACCTCATATCCAACGAGTTTGACTAATAGTCGCGGGTCGCGGGTCGCGGGTCCAATGTCGCGGTCGCGGGTCCAATGTCGCGGTCGCGGGTCCAAAGTCGCGGTCGCGGGTCCAAAGTCGCGGTCGCGGGTCCAATGTCGCGGTCGCGGGTCTAATGTCGCGGCAGGGGAAAATGATTTGAAAACGACTGATATGAAAACAATATGAAGGGAAAAAATCTTTTTTATGCACGATACTCAAGGGTAGCCAATTTACAGGTTACGCATGTTAGAGTCAACAAAATAATGTCTCAAGAAAAGACCTAAAAGAAAAAGCTGGCCGACTTTTGTGTTCACTGCAAGTTTATTTTGTTTTCTTTCTGTCGGGCCCAGTTAAGTGTAAATTCAGCTTTGAATATACTTATGTACAACAGTATCTGATAAAAAATGTTACCATGAGTAACCATTGTTTTCTTCTTGTCTATGAATTGCTCACAAATTCTTAGGGGTGCATTCACTGAAAAATGTGCGATACACTTCATAGACTATAAATTATAAACGTTACAACAACTTAAAACCTTTTTTAAAAAAGGCTACCTCGGGCTCGAAAAGCTACGAGTCTGTCGGTAGAAGAAACGAGAACTGTTTCAATTTCAACAAATGTTTTCGGCAAAAATTAAGAAAACGCTTGTTGAAAAACTTCCTGGTCGCTGTAACGAAAAATTGTATTGCGTGAATAGTGTGACTTTCTAGAAGCTTCGCGAGAGTTCATAATTTGTTTATTTTAGGATCTTGTGTAAGCGTTTCTAAAAGTGGTATATTTTGTAATCTTTCTATAATTAGACTATTTGGAAAGTTCTAGAATCTTATTGTAAACGTATATAAGCTAGGCGAGCCCGAGTTAAGTTTTAACTAGTTTTCACAAGCGAAGAGAGTTTGACGTTGGTCGTGTTTAGTCAAGTGTGACGAAGGCAGTGTTTATTCAAGTTGGCGGAGGCCGTGTAAGTTTAACGAGTTACGTGCTGTTGTGGAGTTTTACTCAGTGGAAACTACGTTCATCTTTGGAATAAATCTTCTTGTTGCTGTTCCGACAACCCTGCGTTCAGTTTAGTTTGCAAGCTACCCGTCTTCTAAAAGATTACCCACGTAACAGTCGCAAACTCCCAAAATAAACTCTTTGCACAAGTAACTGGAAAGAGGAGGAGAGACGTTGGGCTTGAAGTGCCAGTAAAGTACATTCAAGCGGGTATTCAAGGTATGACTTTAATAAAAAACAAGTAATAATCCACAGCAAGATGGGTTAAAGCTCGAGCTTTATCCTCTCTTGTCCACAGAAAGGAGTTTGTTCCCAATAACGATTGAATTCCGGAATCCAATTTCTACCAAGAGAGAATAGATCATAGTCTCTTGGTTCTACTGACAAAGACTTGAATCCAGTACCTGGATTCTGGAATTACTTACCTAATTTATTGTCTTTTCTTAGCTCTGGTGGAGTTGATAACTTACCGTTTTCAGTGTCCGGTTTACTTTCTTTTTCAGCTTCATGATATCGGGCGTTATTATTTCCTTACCTACTTACTCACTTAGTTATTTACGATGCATGTTTTCAGGATTTGACTGAGCCGGACGCACATTGAATGGCTTCCTATTGTCAGGTTGTCCTGGTTGCCATTTAGGTGAAGAGAACAAGAAGTTATATTGAACTCTCTGGGTTGCCGTCTCAGTTGGAAAAATAAAAGCATTAAGCGAAAATCTTGCTTCGAGGAACAGACTTCTTTCTGTGGATTATTACTTGTTTCCATATTAAATTCATGCCTTGAATACCGCTTGAATGAAGTTTCATGCGCCTATTTACATTGTCTTTCAGTTTTGCCGAAAACATTTGTTAAATATAAGACTTCTCGTTTCTTCTACCGACAGACTCATGTAGCCTTTTTGAGCCCGAGTTCGCTTTTTTTTTAATAAAAGGCTTTAAGTTGTTGTAACGTTTTTAATTTGTAGTCTATGAAGTGTATCGCATATTTTTCAGTAAAGGAGCCCCTAATCATCTGTGAGCAATTCATAGACAAGAAGAAAACAATGGTAACTTCTGGTAACTTTTTTATCAGATACTGTTATGCATAAGTATATTCAAAGCTGAATTTACACATAACTGGGCCCGATAGAAAGAAAACAAATAAACTTGCGGTGAACACAAAAGTCGGCCAGCTTTTTCTTTTAGGCCTTTTCTTGAAACATTATTTTGTTGACTCTAACATCCGTAAGCTGTAAATTGGCTACCGTAGAGTATCGTGCATAAAAAAGATTTTTTCCCTTTATATTGTGTTCATATCAGTCATTTTCATTCAGTTACCTTGAACCCCAAATCATTTTCCCCTGCCGCGACATTGGACCCGCGACCGCGACTTTGGACTCGCGACCGCGACATTGAACCCGCGACCGCGACATTGGACCCGCGACCGCGACTTTGGACCCGCGACACGCGACCCGCGACTATTAGTCAAACTCATATCCAACGCGCCCTCGTGGAATAATTGTTAACTAGAACCACTACGTGGAACTTACCGGGGCCCAGTGGGATACGGGATTGCATAGATATAGTTTACCTCTCGCACCCCTACCCCCTCCTCTGTGGAGGCTAATACTTAGTCTGAATTAACTCATGCAGAAGAAAAGCAACAAAATGCATGAGAAAGGAGGATGTTGTTGTAAGTTTGTTCAGTGTTATTACAGCTAACGGTCTGTGTTATAGTAGTGTTTTTAGTAACACTGTGATGTCAATAAGTGTGATCTGTATAAGGTTTTCATTTGTTTTTAAGTTTGAGTGAAAAAGCAAAAATCACTGACAGTTTTGGGTTGAATGGTAATGACAAAGTTTGCAAAGAAGTTTGTTACAGAATTATCACAATTTCACATTTTCTCAAGTACGTTATCATCAGGTTTATCATTGAGATTTATTAATCACATTTATCTATTTTTTTGCGAAAACACTGTGAATTTGAAATGATAACAGACATAAGACATTTTGAAATAGATCTTTGTGGTCATGGATTGTTGTCTTGCACTGTAAAAATGTCATCCAGTGTTATATACAGACATAATAAAATGCTTATTTATTGATGACTGAGTATCATTTGTTAATTCATTGCACATTGAAATGGAGGCACTTGATTGTAAGGCAGTGGTTGATACATAGTGGCATTCATCAATATGGCCTATAGTAATTATTGTAGAGGAAGTATTTCTTTCCTGAACTGGGTAAACAGTAGTATATCTGCAACTGCTTGAATGATAAGTGCATCAGCCCATGTACCTTGAATACACATATTATTTAGATATCTTATCCATGAATTTTCGGTATTGCTCTCAATAAATCTCTCAGGATTGTCTCTCATAAATTGAACCCCAGCAGTACGTATATGCATGTGATGGTTGCTTTTGTCATATAATTGATGTGATACAGATCTAAAGAAACAATCACCTGCACCGCCAACATCTATTGATTGTAAACAAAGTGCACCTAATCTTGACTGCATCAAATTCTCAGAGGAAATAGGAGAGTTCAACTGCATTGGTTGAGGTCACACTAGAGAAAGTTTACTATAGTAAACTCAAGTTTACCATAGTAAACGGCGCCGTAAGTGTGACCGGCATTTTTCAGTTTACAATGGTAAACTCTACTCTGGTTAATTTCCATGACTACCGCGGAAAGAACAAAGATGACCCTTCACCGATAACCATCTGGTTACCAAAAAAAATAGGTGGGTATATCTCTAGTCTATCTAAACTTTGTTTGTTTTGTTGACAGTTTGTCATGATTTTTGAGGAAAGTAGTTTCAAAAAGGGTCACATAACAGAATAGCTTTAGAACATCGGTGATTGCTTTTTCCACAGTGCTTGAAGGTTTCTGTTTCTGTACATTTCTTCAAACCATTCCTGGGGTCGAGGTTAAACCCACGCTTGCCTTCGCAATGCCGCTCTTTCTCTAAGAATACGTCTTCGATGAGTAATCAATAAACCTGTCACTAAAACATCTTCACTAACTTCGTATTCGAAACCAAGGTAGGTAATAAGGGAGCGCATTCTTCTTGCTCGTCTGAGCAGCAGAATTAAAAGCAAAATGCTCACAACAGAAAACAATACTCTCTCACATTGAAGCATCTTTGTACACTTGTGAGGGTCACGCTCAGGAAGTTACAGTTCAGTAATTTCAATTTAGTCAGCTCTCATAGCAGGTCATCATTTGTTTTACTTTTCACTCTCACGTTCCCGATCACGCGAGAAAAAACGCCTGGAAAGTTTCAAATGCCTTTTTAAGTGGACCTGTCAGGTTTACTACGGTAAAGAAGACGTTGCGAGACTTACCATGGTAAAGCCCTTTTTACC